TATTCAAAATCCACATTCAAATATACCAATGGTCAAATCTTACCATCTTAACGGCGTCTAAAAGGCTAAATATGTTTTTGCAGAAAACCTCCCCCTTTTCCCATCTGGTTGCCCCAGACCAACTGTCCACCCCATCTCAAAGCTCTCCCAATATAACAGCATCAGACATCAGTGCTGGGACAGAACTGCTACGGTGTGCCGGTGCTTCCATTATACACACCTACTTTCAAAAGTTTACAACTGAGCTTTGAAGTTCACTTTGTTCTGCATGTTGACATGTGATGCCATTTCTGGGCAAACCAAAGAAAATCTATGGGTTTTTCAGTTGTAAGTGAGACATCAGCAACTGATTTATGCTGGTTGAGATTTAACTTTCAGCCTTCAAAGTAAGATCCCTTCCATCCACTTCTAACATTTTGCAGGTGATTTCTTTCACTCCCCGCACAGGCTGTTTCTCACAGAGCTGACTTCCAGCACGCTTCCCACCGTATTGGTGGGCATCTAAGCAGAACCCAACTTTGCAAACACTCCCTTGGGACAGACCCTGCAGAAGTGCTCTGGGTGATTCCAACACCACTGGACAGGGACTTCCAAGGCTTGGTTTCTTGTTTTTCCCATGGAGTCTGTGTATATATATATATACATATATATATGTATATACATAACACAAAGATTTACAAGTATCTGGTCTTTGCTCATGCAAGCAGATTGATCGACTTTTTTTTTTTTATATGTTTGTTGAACTCTGCAGTAAAGGCTGATTCCTTAAAAATAAAACAGAAAGAATGCTGTGGTATTGTATTACAGTATTCTAGCTCTCAAAAATGTTGCTGGGTTGTTTTAGGCTATGGTCTAACATCACAGATTTTCCTTTTCTTAAAATGGAGGGAAAGATCAGAGCACCGTTACCCTTAACTGGGAATTACAGACCTTTGTTTTTTAAGAGGATATAGAGTTTTATTCTTTGGTGGACGATGTTTTGCCATTTGATAAGAGGACCCAAGTTGGCATGCAGTGTGGTTTTCTTTGTTAGTCAAAAAATTTACCTTTACATTAAATATTTTTATTACATAAAGTATTGAAAGGAGGAAGAATTCAATGGCTGGAATCCACAGATCTGTTCTCCAATGTTTAAAATTTGTGGGTTTGTTTGTGTCTTTATGACACTATGTACCATCCTGTATTATAATATTCAAACAATTCATCAAAAGTCCAATGATAAAGAATGGCAAGGAAATTGAAATGCTTCAAATACACCATCAGTTTCACACACCTTCAGTTCTGCCGAGCTACTTCTCTACATATAGGTAGCGAACATTTCAGATACCCAGACTTGGGTATCTTGCATCATCAGGACAATTTGCGTGGACGAGAAGTAAATTAAACAGGAACGAAAAACGGCACCATTTGTCACTGTCACTTGAAACTTAAGACTAAAATTTATTTTTTCCAGAATGCTGCATTTTGACAACAGTTGATTCTCTCTCTAGTGTGAAAGCACTGATGTTTCACTTACATTACAACATCACTCTGGACTATGGGCGCTTTTACGCCTGGCCATCAAATACCCCTTCTAGTAAAATGCAGTGTATGGGGACCAAGCTGTTTCTCTCCTGTATAAAACTTAGCAGCCACAAAGCACAATGAGACAAGTACTTCAGGGTACTTACTGCACATCTCAGGTGAGTAACATAATTCTGCCTTCACCCTCACACCTCCAGACAGTCCAGGACACAGAATAACCCAGGAACAACCTGCCCCAATCTCGCTGCTAAAGTGTGACTTTCAGATGACAAACTGTGCCGTATCCAATCCTGTTCTCCCAGGTGCAACTCCAACGTCTTACCCACTGCCGCTGTACCCAGGCAAGAAAACTAGTGTAAGCAAGTGCACTACAGCACTAGGAAGAAATGTACAAGTTTTATTTTTAAACATCATTGGACTGAAAATTAAAGAGTCATATGGCTTATTTATACTTCAGGAGATGGCAGTGAATAAGTTAAAGAATATTTCATCCCAAAACATACGTTGCTTTCATTTATAGCTAAGCGAATGTACACATATGTGTTCTTATTCTCATAAATGTCAAGCACCCACCTCTTCCCCCCCCCCAAAGATTTACAAGTACATGCATGGCACTTCCTACAAAGCTGTTGTGGGCTAAAGGCTTACAAACAATGATTTATTTTTTTTTTAATAAGAAACATTCATCAGACCAGAATATAATCATTTAAATCAACTTCTTCCTGAGCAACCTAGAATTTGGAATGTGCTGAAAAGTTTCAATAAATAAGTCAAAGATTAACCAGCTTAAAACGTACCTTTTAACAATTAAGTAAAATGTATTTCATGACAGACAAACAGGCCGTACAACCAGGAGTCTTACATGCTATGTGCCAGATAAATTTATGAAGTACCATTCAAGGAGGAGAGGCCAGGTTGATTGTTACGAAAAATACAACAACATTAAAACCTAGCAAGTAAATCATTAAACAGGTTTTGTATTTAGGTTATAAGTAGTGATGGCTGAAGATACCATTAAATAAACAGATAAAAATAGACTTTACGGTAAGCGGCAGTGAACTTGCAGGAAGGGTGAAATGTGTTAAGTGACTGATTATTCTGTTACAATGTTGGCAGAAAGGATTCAAACAGAATTTCAGAAAGGCGAGAACATTAGTTTTCTTTCCATAATACAACTCCACAGTGTGTAAACTAATCATTACTCTTTCAATGTAATTTCATAGAAACCACTTAAAATATACAATGCAGCAGATCCATATTTTAGCTAATGTGTTAGTTGTTAACTGTGCCATTTTCAGCTTTCTTTAATGTGCTCCCCTACGGCAGTGCACTGCTACCACCAACCTGGGATGTTAATAATGAGAACAGAATCTTCTATGTAGTATTTTCTGTAAGTTAGCATCTTGTCTTAACACGATTACACTTCTTTACTTTCATTCTCTGCATGTAGGTACAGTGAAGACTGACTGGTGATGAAGATACAATGCTTATTGGCTCTCAGCAGGCTCATGGAAGAGGAAACCCTTGGAAAGCACATTCGAGCTTAGCCCGAGTTTATATGCCTCGTCCATCACAAAATAACTTTTGCTTGTTATTGCAAACTGAAGTATGACCTTGCAGATGGCAGACACGCTGCTGAGGCAGCCACAGAACGGGAAGCAAAAATTTCCAGGTAGATGTTTGAGAAAGGACATGAGTCAGACAGAGGTGCATTGCTCCTGAATTGTTACTGGGACTCATCCTTGCAAGGAGCTGCAACTGCCCTGCTTCTTTCTGCTGTTCTAGGACAGGAATTTATTGCTATTCATAGAACCCTAGAATGATTTAGGTTGGAAGGGACCTTCAAGACCATCTAGTTCCACCCCCCTGCCATGGGCAGGGACACCTCCCACTAGACCAGGTTGCTCAAAGCCCCATCCAGCCTGGCCTTGAACCCTTCTGGGGATGGGGCCTCCACAACTTCCTGGGGCAATTTGTTCCAGTGCCTCACCACACTCAAAGTGAAAATTATCCTCTAGTAGTCCAGCTTCCTCTGGCAACAACAGTGCACAAGAGGTCAAGGCCTCATCAAGATCCCCTAATCCCCCCTATTCTGCTACGGAGCAGATGGCCAAATAGCTCTGCCCATTACTGTCAACAGATCTGTCACTTCTGCACCACTAGTCTTGGCAGGCTGTTGAGTAGCCAGCAAGCCCGCAGATCACAGGGAATCCCGGGGACACTCACCATAACGACAGCAGCATGTATCATACTGAAACTATTCCCTTTTCCCCTCCCAGCCTCCACGCATCTCCTTTCTAGTGTTTGCTGATAATACTTGTAGTGATTAACAAGGGCTACTTTCACAGTGACTCTCTTAACAACGTATCACTGAATCGGCTTTGGTTTCACAGAGCATACCTTCTTTTGTTTGTTTTATCATTCTGAAATATTTCAACCAGAGAAGTTGTATATGTCCACATTGTTAATTTTATTTCTAACCATGCTAAGAGCAAGCATCTGGTGTTTGCGCTGGTGGGGCAGCTGCGTTCAGCTTCAGACGTGAACAACTAAATTCTGTGATCACAGAAATACGGGTCATGCTTGAGTTCCAGATCATCTAAGTTTTTTAATGAGTGGCCTTTTCTGTATCTCTTTGGATCTGTGACCCATAAAAATAATAAAAATCTGCAAATACCTGTCCTGAACATAAAAACCGTATGCTGCACCTTTTCCTTCAGAGTCTAATAGAAATGTACTCAGCTGCAGAAACAAAACTCCACTGGTTAGATAACCCTGCCTTGCACTTTTCATCTGTTGTTGCCATTCACTGACCTGGTAACTTTTTTCACTCTATGCACTAGAAGGGTTTACCAAAAATGTCTGGTTCCTGTAAATTGCTTTATGTCCACTAATGTTAATTTGCCAGAATAGCAGCCTTGCTCCTCCCACGCAGGGCAAGAAGCCATTATCAAGCCCCTTTCTGAGCCTGTTATCCCTTCATGTGCACAGACATGGCAATGGCTCTGGCCGTACCACCGGGATATCAGTGTGCTCTGGGCAGAAAGAGGCACTCTTCCCAAATGGGTCACTGCCCGTAGTTCACATTGCTGGTAGTTAATGCCGCAGTGCTATGCAATGAAGACTTGTTTCTGGAGAAAGAGAGAGAAGAGAGTCTGTAAAACTTACTTTTCAAGACCGCCTAATCTATTCTTTTATGTTTTGTAGGTTCCCAGAGGACTACTGTGTACTCCAAAAGTTATTTTGTGATAGACAGTAGATACTTCTCTCTTGAACTACGCTGTAGCAAGGATGCTATAGGGCCAACACAACACCTGAATCAGTGAATCAAACCTGCAAAACCAGGTATCTCCCGATGGCCCCAGCATGTGGGAATGGTCTCTTCCGTTCCGTTTCAAATGCTGCTGCGCATTAACTCAGTTCCTTAAGGAATTACTTTAACAATAATTAAAAAAATCTTAAGAAAGCTGGAAGGGTCACCAGAAGAGAAAGGATAGCTCTTCCATCAGTCACCTTTTATAGATATCCTCTAGCCATTTTTCATCATCTTCTTCCTCGTCATCTATCGGTTCCTCTGTTTCCAGGGGAGAAGGAATGAAGAACTCAGGTCTGGGACGTGGTTTCCTGATATGAGACTTCAGTCCAAACTTGCGCTTTAGCAGGTGGAACTGTTCTTTGACATAGTAATAAAACTCGTATTCATATCTCATGCGTTGGTAGAGGATCTGTATTGCTTCTGGAGAGGGGACGGTCTTTTTCACTGTCACAGTCAGATTCCCAAGTTTCCTATGTTCTGTAAAAAAACCCAAACAAGCAACATGGTGGGTGCTGATTAATGAGACCAGCCCTAAATTTTTTTTTTTTTTTTTTAAAATTAAGGCATTGCCCTACTGCATTACTGATACAAATGAGCTCAATCTGTCTCCTTAATAACAGATCTAGTTTTAACAAGAGATAAAAAAATACAGACGTTTGAAGTTAGACTTGCTTGTTTAAATATGGCTAGTTCATGCATGGCATTTGGCATTGCATGTAGTCACCGACAATCTTAATTGGCACCGGTTATCTAAAAATGCAAATTAGGTCATACCAACTATGAACATAAACCAAATGTAGAGAAACCCATAATCTTGCCTAGCTTTGGAAATTTTGCCTGACACATGTGGACAATATATACAGCACACAGCTGAGCTGAACTAATCAGTTATCTCCTACGTGGCATACCACATCGTGTCTCAGTTGTAATTTATTGTTGGTTCAAATCGAAATAGATATTTATCAACCTGAACCTGTTTCAGGCTAGCACTGAAGCATTGTTAGCATCACCACATGACACCTCAAGACCAAATGTGCCTGCTGACTTTCTCATCCTGATATACCTGTTAATTAAACGAGACTCATCTTCCTGTTGTGCCCTGGGACTGGAAGATTTCAGTATGTTTTTCTTCACCTGACAACTTTTGCTTTGGTAAACGGAAATAAAACACCTTTATTGTGGATAAAGAATTAGAATTACGAACAAAAATATTGAATTGTCTCTTTGCCTCCTCTCTCAATAGATATTCTACCATTGGAAATTATTGTATTTGAACAAGGTGCAAAGCAAACTCCCAAAGCTGTCTTCTACCAGATGGCAACAGGCTGCCAGAGTATCCTAAGTATTTTCTTCTTCTCTAAGACAGAAACATAATGAAAAGTCAACTGTGAAGAAGAGAACAGAAAAAGCTGGAAGTACTGGCCTGTAGCATCACTGTATCCTGCCTAAAAACTGCAACTTTATGAATGTTAGTGGAGATGAATGTTACACTGACGAAGTACTAGTTTCTATAATTAGATTTTCTGAAAGCTCAGTGCTCCAATCCAGTAACCCTCATGTGTTACTCTGAGACAACATGATGCCCATAGAAATGACTGTAATAGCCTCAGAATACACCTGTGTCCAGACACGGCAAGATGCATGGGCTTGCATGGAAGCAAGGAGATGCCAGTCAGACGTTAGTGAAAAGCTCTTTTCATGGCAGGGGTAGTTAGGCAGTGCAGTAGAGCATACCAGTTACAAAAGCTGTACCTCTGGAAGATTGTAAGAGCAGATTAATTGATTCTCTCCTGAGGGAAGCCACTTGACTAGGGGACATCTCAAGGCCATTTTCCATGACGCTAAACCCAATAGATTAATTTTAATCTTGTCAGTCCTTACTTCGCTTCCTTGCTCTTTGCTACAACAGCAAGATCTGCATGAGAACTGGTGGTAGTTTTTTTTTTTTGTTGTTGTTCCAGGATAACGTCTTGGCTTCTGCTGCTCATTCTTTCTTTAATAATTATATCCTCTATTTGTGCTGCCTCAAATGCCAAACAGAAATCCGCATATTCTACATGACTATATAGATAAACTGTTGCAGTGAAGAAGAGCTGGTTTTTGATATGGAAACCTAATTCTTATTGTAACAGCAGTTCTGCAAATTCAATTCAAAGATTCAAATTCAAAAGGGTCGGGCCATGAAGAAAAAACTTACAAGGAGGAAGGAGACAACAAAGAACATTAGATGTTTCCAACCGGGTCCCAGCGGCAGTGACCACCCTCCCTTCCAGAGGGAATCCCTGAATCAAAATGGGATTTTATCATATGCAGAGTTTTGCTCATGTGAGCAGTCCAAATTGAGGTCTTCTGAAGCGCCTGCCAGCAAGGCTAAACACATGCTTAGCAGCTCTACAGAGAAACACATTTTCACGATCGCCAACACGTAAGACTTAAGGGATGGATCGATGGTTCCTGTTAGGAAAAGTGAGTTGTTCTTGGGATTCCACAAGCAATATGTTCAGCCAAGAGAAATAATCAAGAAGAACTTTTTAGGGAAGATAGGAATTTTAAGCAAAGGCATGCCCATTTATTTCAAGAAGTAATAAAAGATGAGTAAGTCCAGCTAGCAAACACAACAGCAATGATCTTTAGACAAACAGTTGGTATTAGGCAAGATTTTAAAACTTGACAAGTACAACAGAAGGGTAGAGCACAGCTATGTGAACATGAACTGCTTTCTTTACATTTTAAAAGATCAATGTTCGTATAACTTAGGGTATCCACACCTATAAACACATTTTAATTTCCACACAACGGACATACATTTTCCTATTTCAGAGTAAAGTAATCAAAGAAAAAACAACAGAGAACTGTTCATTTTAATAATACTACATGAGACAGCAAGTGCTGCTGGGCTGACATTGTCATATTCATTTGACTTCACTGCATCACACACATCTGGTGCAGAAGAAAAAAGGTGTATCTAAAAGATGTAGTTTCCCTCTCAGTTTTGCTTACCAATTACAATCTGAAATGTAGGAAGAATATGATACAAAGAGAGAATAGGTTGACCAGCATCCCCAACATAATGTTGTTCTAAATCACAAAAAAAAATTATTTAAAGCATTCATTCTATTTTACATTTCTACTTTTAATGCCTTCTCTAAAGAAAGAATGTTTTTCATTAGTTGGTAACAATTAAAACATGCTGCTCTGTAATTAAATGGAGCTTTTACACCAAACTTTGTAGTTCTTCTCGCTGAAATCTCTGTCTCTACTCATATATCTAAGTAATTAAAACAACTTAGTGCAAAGAGTTCTTTGTTCTTTAATTACAGTGATATATGCTCTATATTTACTGACTGTTCACAGTTTACCAATTTGTATAGTTTTACTTAGATAGGAGTAAAATGATTAAAAGATACAAAAATGGATTTAAAAATAAAGATGCTATCTTTAATGTGCTGTCTAGCTAAGAAAATGTGTAGAGGAAGGATCATGAAATGCTTGTGTTTAAAATAGGCATTAGCATAGAAAACACTATCTGTAGCAAGTGAATGGTGTGAAATATTTTTGGTGAAAATATTTGGCTTCCCCAAGAGCTTATTCTCCTCTACACCACCTTTACCCATAGACCGGAATAGACCAACAAATGTCTCATCTTTTTAAATTCTCAGTCAGTTGTTCAAGTTGCCATTGATGGGTGCTAGATGAATACAGTCCAGGCAGGACACTGTACTCAGTCCATCCCTGGGTGAGAACGCAACTGCTGCCTTATGATTACCGAGCTCTTCAAGAAATTCCTCTTTCTGCTGCTTTAGCTGGTAGCTCCCGCCAGCTTTGCGGTCTGGTTTTCTTTACAAACTCAGCAGCAAATATACACTCCTAAATATTGCATTTATTAAGCCTAAGCCTTTATACTGCTTGCCAACTTCATTTTTATTTTACATAGGTTATTTCTGTTACAGAAAACTCCATTTACCTTGCTGGAAAAAGCTCTTTACTTATAGGGTCCCGCCAGGACTCTAAGCGGGTAAAGCCACTTCTTACAGCTCCAGCTCCCTTTGGTGGCTGCTCCTCCCAGCAGAGAGGGGCACTTGTGCTCAGCCCAGAAGCGCTGCCAACGATGACAAGGTGAAAAGGGCTGGACTGTTTTCTTGGGGGGGTGGTCAGTGTGGGGCAGGACCAGCCAAAAGGGAATTTACTGGTGGTGTGCCAGGCAGGGAGCAGCCCGCCGGCACCCGCTCTGCCAAAGCAGCCAGGTGCTGCATGCCACCCTCACGGCGGGCAGCGAGACAGCAGCAAAATATTCTCCTCCCCTGAATCTGCAGTAGTCACGGCATAGAGGATTCCTGGAAGTGTGCAATTCTTCTTTGCCCTATGCACACACCTACATCTATAGCTGTGGACATATGTACAGATAGAAACACTCACGCTCTGGAAGGCTATAGGAGCCATGTAGATCTCCTGGCTTCTGCTGGTTCGCCTCACAGTATAACCATCAGTAACTGCCGTGCATAAATAGCTGTGAGGTGCTGGTTGTCAGATGGTGCGAGCTGGGGCTGTGCCCGGCTCCAGGCTCAGCCTTTTTGATAAAACAAGTGAACTTCGCTTATTTTGCACTTGAACCTTATTTACCCTGGTTTCTAATCCTAAATACTCTTAAAAGGCTCTTTAATACAAACATGAATGAAATCACAGAACTGCTTCTTGAAGTCACCTTGACCACCTCTCCTCATCATAGAAGCAAAATGGAAACATTAGGTAGATCTGGCTTAAAGCCAGAATAACAATCTACATATGCTACATAAACCCAGCTGTCCCACCAAAGGACCCCCATTTTATGACCTCTGAGACAGCTAACCATATGGAGGGCAACAAACTACACCATTTAGTTTTTAGGGTTATTTTTTTAAACTGTGTTTGCTTTGGCATTCTCTTAAATTACTAAAAAGAATGCACTACACAGTAACCCAGCCTCCCGGTGCAGCCTGCTCGTGCCTTGAACTAAGGCTAAATTGGTATGCAGATACGGATGAAGAAAATTAAATTCTTTTGCGTTACAGGTGATGAATATTTACTATTACTTTCCCCACTCTTGCTTTTTTTCTTTCTTTTTTTTTTTTAAAAGCAGAAATCAGCATTACTCACTGCAGCAATCCAAACCGTAGGGAAAAGTGGTTTTTGTACTTTGTGGCTCAAAAAACCTTGGATTGCCATATTTAGACAAAATAATCCTAAAGGCATTCTCCACCTCAAAAGAGACTTCCGGAGCGACGCTCTCTCCAGCCCCCCGCCGTCTGGGAGGGCGCGAGGCAGAGACTTGCTCCCCAGCGCTGCTCTGCTGCTGCTGGATGAAGCCGCGGGGAGCCCGGTGTCCTCGGGGACCCATCGGGGAGAGGTGAGCAGGCTGGAGCCAGCGCAGGACGGCCGCAGGCGACTCGCCCAGCTGATGCTTGCGGTGGAAAAACCCCACGCCGAGCTCTGCTGCTCTA